CTTCAGTTTAAATACAGAGACTTTCAAGTTAGGAGATGGCCTGGGTCAAAGGGTAGGAGAATTGAAGAGACCTGACTGGACAAAAGAGGAAGTACAAACCTCTGCCAAAAGGGCAGAAGCAGTCATGGGCCCAGGAGAAAGGTAGCTATGGTTCATGAAAATGCCATCTCTTCACTTGATATTCTGACCAGCAGTTGACTGGTTTTGACCAGCTTTGAATGACTGCTTTTGAATATGAGAAGCAAGATGTACACATAGCTATACCATTCACTCAACTGCTCAGTAATCACCCTAGCAGAACTTCCCAAACCTGAGTAAATTACCCAGTACTGGGTAAAAATGGTTTTTCTTTGGGTAATGACACATGAACCCATTACCCATCACAACAGGGACATTTAAATTGGCTTAAAGATTGCCATGTGTACTAAAATATATTCGAAAACTTCCCGAAGTATTCCTATTAAGATGGAAATCAATGAAATTACCAATGGTAATTTGTTGAAATGACATAAAGATAATTCAGTGATATTGTACCTATTATAACCAGGTAGTCCTTGAGTTACAACCTTTCATTCAGTGACCCTTCGGAGTTACGATGGTGCTGAAGGAAGGGACTTATGACCAGTCCTTGAAGTTCCAGGCAAAACAAAATCTGGGTACTTGCCAACCAGCACACATTTACGACTGGTTGCAGTGTCCCTCGGTCATGTGATCACCATTTGAAACCTTTCCTGCCAGCTTCCAACAAGCAAAGTCAATGGGGAAGCCAGCAGGAGAGGTTGCAAGTCACTTGGGTAACTCTTTCCCACCCATCCCACCTTTCTTTGCTCTCATGCCTTCCTTCCCTCCTTCACTCGCTTACACACACCATGCCCCCAGGGCTTTCAGACAAGCGCTTTTGGGTAATGAAGGAAAAAGTTTGGGAAGCACTGAAACTGAACTGAGATAGTGTTGAGGAATCCCAAACATAGAGATGTGTAGGACTTTTACATCCATATTGCCATTATTTTGATGGGACAATTCAAAACTTTGGGGCTGCCATAACACACTTTGATCTGTATTGGATTTAAGATAGGTCCAATTTATCAGTATGGAGTTTATGAGAGTTTTGCTGTCATGGACAAATCATTACTCAAGCCAGGTTTAGGTTGCAAGCTGACTCTACAATGGATGGAAAGGGGTCCCATGCTAATACTCTGCTTTCAGTGACATACAGATCCAGAAGGTGCCCTTACATCTTTATGGAGATTTCATTTAGAATTGACCAGAGGACCTGCCATGAACCTGCTAAATGTTCTCAGCAAACTGTTTATTCCTACATGCTTTATCCAAACCATAGAATGTTTTAGTTTTCTGAAGGGTTAAGCATAATAAGGAGATATTTTGCAGGAGAAGCAAAATATGGCTGAATGTTGATAAAAGCCCATTTTACTCTTCAGTGCTGATGGCAGCAGAAAAAAAAAGTATTTCTAACCACTCTTGAATCTGCATAACATTGATGAATAGAGTTCTTTCAGGTGATCATTAACCTACTTGGCACAGAGCAATGAGTCAGGAATTGAAACCTTTAAGGACAAGTTTGCACCTAAACTATTGAGCAGATAAAATATTTGTACCTCCTCTGACTCGCATACTACAGTTTTGGCAGAATTAGAGATGAATAAACCATGCTATCATCTGATCTGGTTGCTATGGATAATTTTGAGCTTGTGTGACTGAGGATGCTGATCATCTGCCAGAAGATTGTGACATATTTGTTATATTCCTCCTCTCCCAGCTAATGAAAATTCCAGGACAAGGCTGATAGTACTGCTCCAAAGTGATCAATTTCTCATAAAGAAATAAGGTAGCTTTGGTGGTCCTGAAAGAGGAAGGACTGAAACCAAGACAGAAGAAGCCAGGTATTGATTTCTAGGCTTTGGCCAATTATTCAGTGTTGCACCTCCCATTTCTGAGTATTCACTGATTCCAGTCTGTGTTCAGGATTTTGTTTAGGACAGAATCTAAAATCTTGGTAATGCCGGAAGATGACTTTTACAATTGCAGTTGTGACCCACTCCTCTTGGAATGGACATGAAGGCATAGAAATATCATAGGCTAGAAAGAGATGCCTAGAGATTTTAATTATTGGTCTCAAGATTCCCCATACTTTTCAACATCTACATGAAGCAGCTCAGACAAATTGTCCAGAGGTATAGGCTGAGGTGTCATCAAATATGTGGATGACTGACCCAGGGGTATATTTTCCATCATTTAATCTAAGGAAGCAAATGAAATCCTGGCGGAAGAATTGGTATGCGACCTAATAAGGAGAATTCTCTGGGCCCCATGGCAAACCTTTCAGAAAGTCCTCCAATAAAAATAATAAACAACTTTATTACAGCCAGTGGCCAGATTTAAACATGATTCCATGCCTAGTGGAAAAGTCTCCAGGCAAATTGTATGGGATAAGGAACAGTTGGCTAAAATACTGTAAGGGTGGAAATAGGTTACAAGAGAAGATCTAAAATACTTAAAGGAGCTAACATTACAAAATAATTTAACTATTAAATTAATACAATTCTAGATCACTGAATGCTAAGCTACTGAGATAGTAAAATTGCTATGAACACTTTGTTAGTTGAGAAATAACTCTAGATAAATGAGATAAAAAATAAGGCTATATATAAAAGTGGTTAAGGTTATACCAAAATATCTCAATTATAACAAGCTTATATGATAAGATTGCTCAAGCACTGGGCCGTTCTGCCAGCTGCAGCAACTGATGGTAAATGAGAGAACGGGAGGGGAGTCACAGGTCAAGTTTTTCCACCCCACAGTAACACACCATTTGAATAAAAAAAGATAGAAGAAGTGGGTCAAGACTTGGGATAAAGGGATGCCTAGGCCCTCCTATGTCTAGGCCTCCCAAGGTGGATGCTTCTTCTGCCTTCACTATTGGTATGTCCCTGTTGGTACTGATGAGGGTGAATAAAATTTAATATAGACAAGATGGAAATACTGTAAGTTGGATAGACACAGCATCTGTTCCTAACCTTGATCATGCCAAAATGACAAAACCTGTGTGGTGATATCACAATGCAAGCTCTGCCTTTTTGTTCTTGCATTGTGCCATTGCTAACAAGTACTTGAAGGGTGGAGTTTGTAGTATGACATGCATTTCACCATTTACCTTCCTTTTCCCCATTGCAGACGTCTTTATGGACAGAGGTGTATCTCTGACTCTGGTTTAGGACATATTCTGCCTAAAATGCCAAGTGTACAATCTGGGGCAGCTTGTCTTCTTAGTGCTCTCTACGAATGGGCTTGATTACTCGTAAGAAACCAATAACGTAGGCTGTCTTGGCAGCAGTGGCAGATTATGTGGCAAGTGGGAGGCAATATAAATTGAACACACAAATAAATAAAGGCAATTGACTTAGCTATAGTAATACAGTGAAACATGCCTTGATTATGCCCAAGTCAAAGTAATGCAATACAGTACATGTATGTGTAAAGCTGCTCTTGATGATAAGTTGGAAACTGCAATTGGTACAGTGTGTGACAGCTAGAATGCAAGAACTGCATCATTAGATAAGATTACATATTCTGTAGCTCTTTATATTGGCAACTTTTTGGGTTTTAGCCTAATCACAGTGCTGGCTTCAGCCTTTAAACACTAAATGGTTTGGGCTGCCTTTCAAAAGAATTAGCAACATACAGCTGAGCCTATCCAAGACTTCATCAGAGGCCCAGTTCTCTGTCTCAACCACAAGATTAGTTCTTGTCTACTGAGGATAAGGTGCCCTCATTTAGAACGTCACCCCCAGGATGATATGCACTGCCTCATAACTTGGGAGCTTAAAACACACACACACACACCATCCCAAACAGCAATCTAACATTACTATCTAAAACAACCATCCATAGAATCTGGAGAAAATCTGGAAGATGCAATTTGTATTGATTAAAAAGATAATTACCTGAAGTTGTATTTTTATTTTTCCTTTATTTTAAATAGCAGTTGCATTGTTGTATGCTTGGTGATCTTGAAATTGCTAGGTTAGAGAACAATGTACGAAACAAGTGGATTTAAAAAAAACACTTCAAAATAAGGCAAGCAAGCAAGCATGGGACTAATGCCGCCAAGATCCATCTTTTGAGCCAAATGAAAAAGTTGCTTAGCAGCTCTCCTGTTAACAGGAGATCACTTTGCTTTCATCTATTCTGTTTGGCTTATCTACAGCAAGCCAAATTCAAAATCTTTGTGTAAGATCTGATGTTGACCTATAGACTTGTTATTCATCCATGTGAGAAGCTCTTGGCCATTTTTTTTAACCAGCTTTCTCTGAACTAACACGCTCCCAGTAGATTGTACTATGGAGTCCTTGGTGCTCTCAGAGTTTGGCTGTTTGCTTGCAGACATTTCATTACCCAACTAGGTAACATCATCAGTGCTACTGAGTGTGGGGTTTGCTCCCTGTTTATATACAATACTGTAGCTTACTCTGCCAGTGTTGGTGGGGGTGTGATTTTCTCCTTGGCAGTTCCTTGATTAGGGCATTGTTTTCTGCTTGATTGTTTATTTGGTGTTAATCCCTGCTTATCTGGGTGTTGGCTGCTGGACAGAATGTGTTCTGTTTTTTTTGTTTCCTCCTTAGCTTTTTTATTGTCTCTTTTGAATGGTGTATAAATATTGTACTATAAAACCAATTATTCTCATTTGGCAGCATTAAGGTGGGGAATTGGGGGAGGTAACCATCTTCTCCCTTCTCTAGTTTTAGCAAAGTAGGTATGCATGATCAGATTCTGTGAGTATAAATGAGCATCTGACTAAAAAAGGATTGGTTTTTTAAAAAATTTTGTTTCTTCAAGATTTCTTCAGTAACAGCAGTTAAAATTTGTATTAAAATGTACAAATGTAAATTAAAATATAGTTGTAGTTTTGGAATATTTTATTGCTGTAGAAGATCATTAAGACATGTTGTTTGCATTTAAAGGGTCTTGGAATAAAAACTACAATGAAATCTAAGAATGTACGGAAGTCCCTAACCTGCACTTGTGGAAACATTTTTAGACTATGCTTTCTCCTAGGACTCTTCATATTATTTGCTATGATCTGGAAGCATGGCAAAAAGAATTGCAAATGTTCCAAGATGACAACATCCATGGTAAGTATTTGAAAAAAAGTTGTGGATCCAAATTTGCATTTTTTGGGGGGGTTGTTAATATTAATGTTATATATTCTTACAATTGCAAATAAAAATGAAACATTAGTATGTTCTTATTAAGATGTTTGTATTTTGTTTTGTTTAATTTGTATTCTTCAGGGTGCCTGGCTTTTCAGGAAATATATATATCTGACATTGTAGTACCAATATAGTACCATTGGAAGTAATCATGTATTCCAATATAAACTTAGGTTTAGGGCATGTCTGGAGACCGTCTATGGTTAGACAGTTGACCCATAGACTCATTTGACTTACTAATAATACTGGGCAAAAAGTGGCATAGGTGGAAACTTTCAACTAAACTTATAGATGTAGAAATTGGGTGGACAATATTTCCAGGGCAAGAAGAAATTCTTCACCTGTTTGTCAAGAGATATGAGAAATTCTTCAATTATTTGTCAGGAGATGACAGGAGAACCGCTACTGAAAAATCTCCATGGGAGAGGTTCTCTTCCTGATGTTTTCCCTTAGAATTTAGTTATAGCTGGGAAGCCAAGGAGGCTGCAGACCAGCAAAGAGAGAACTACACACTTCTTGGCCAGATCATAACTTTAAAATGTCAAGAACACCACATTCTACCCTTGAGACTTTCTCTAATGTCCTTTTCTCCTGTGAAATCATGTCTAAAGCAGTTTCTCTTTCATCAAATTAAATGAGAACTGGAAGAAAACATGCAGGATAATATTTCTCCCTGGCGCTAGTATTTAGAAGCTATCAGAATAGTATATATAGTTCACCGTCCCTTAAGTTCCCAGACTAGAAAAATACAGATGTTATATTATGTCATGCCCCCATGTATGGGGTCTTACATGGCTTCCATATATCCCCTGGGAGGGCGGGGGGGATTTTTCTATTTTTATGGAATTTATACCCTATATGTTATTTTTCAGTTATACTGACCACCAGGAGGCACCATGCAACCACTTTTGCCTTTAGTGGGACTCCCCAGATGAGGGTTGCCAGATGTTATTCTATGTCTTTTATAAAGACATTTGCCCTTGATTGTATTAAACCTTAAACTATCAATAGGGATTCCCACCCATTTGCTGGAAAGGACTCGAGTCTACAGCAACCGGATTTGCATCTGTAACAACAAAGCCTAAGCAAGTTTTCCACAGAAGCCAGTTTGGTCTAGTGGTTGAGGTGCTGGACTAGGAGTAGGGAGATCAGAGGTCTTATTCCTGCCTTAAGTACAAAAGCCAAATGGATGACTTTGGGCCAGTCTTTTTCTTTTAACCATAGGGAGAAGACAATGGCAACCCACTTTCAAAAATGTTGCCAAGAAACCACAGGGACTCATTTGAAAGTACACAAAGACATACAGACACACACACAATCCCATCACCTTTCAGTGGATTGCCTTGAGTATTGTTCTGAAGTCCCAGAAGCATTCTCCCAATTTCCAGGTGGATGTTTATTAATTGATTTAAAATATTTTCAGTGACTAAAATATTTTAAGATGCAAAAATATCCTAGAAAAAAGTGATAGCAAACCATGTTTACATCATGCCAGGAAAGCTATGTGGATATGTCTCTGTAAGCATCTTTGACTTGAAGGTGACTTTACTTTTTAAAAATGTGTTGCGATCAAAGACAGGAATAACACTGAAGTGAGAAATAAAGGAGAAATACATTAATAATAATAAAATTATGAAATGAAACTTATAAAAGTCCAAGAAGAAATAATAATGAAATAAGGGGAACAGTAATGGAATTATTAGTAAGAAACGAAGTAGGAAAATAATAAATGCAATTATAAATCAGTAAAGACGAAAACAAAGCAGGCCCTGCTTACTTTTCAGTTCTGGCTCACCAACTTTTGGAAGGAGACCTTGTTTACCTCTGAAAAAAGTTAAATACAGGTAGTCCTCAGGTTAAGAACACCCAATTTGCAAAATTGAGTTAAATACACAATGACTTGAGTTAAATATACAATGATTCAAGTTTATTACACAATACTACTTATACAGCATAATACAATAATACTGTTCCAACTTACATACAAATTCGACTTAAGGACAGACCCTGGCAACAGAACTGGTTCTTAAAACTGGGGACTACCTGTAATTACCTCCTGCTATTGCAGGACACAAAAATTGACATGGTAACTTAAAGATAATGATAAAGCTCAGTCAACTACAAATTCAGATAGCTGATGCTGGAAAACAAATATGCTTTTCTACCTTTAAGAGTACAAAAAGAAAGAAGATAATCATTCCAGAGTATCCTTTTTGGAAGATACCACAGAATCTAAACATCAGTGTACTGGAAAGTGCTTCAGGTCCTTTACCCATTAAATATAAATATCTTGTTGGATCCCCTCCCTCTAAAAAGAGTAAGTATAGGCTATTCTTTATATAGCTGTTACTGAATCTATCAATCTTTCAATAAATGCATTTCTGGAATGGTGATTTGCCCAAATAAGTCTCCAAATAGTCAGTGGGATATATTGTGTAGCTTCTTCTAAGCACCATACTGGCCAAATCAGCAACTCTACGTTCATCACATGCAGGACTTGCCATAGAAAGCCCTGCTCCCCTGCTTGCTTTATGATCAGCCCTGAAGATGTCTACATGTGGAAACTGGGCCTGGGACACAGTTCTTGCCCACCTCCTAAATCCATGAAAGCTTATGATACACAGTGGCCAAAAGTTTGGCTGTGGTCAAAGAATCTCTGCCACAGAACTCTCTCAATCACTTTAGACCACTGTTTCTCAGCCTTGGCAACTTTTAAGATGCATGAACTTCAATCCTGGCTGGGGAATTCTGGGAGTTGAAGTCCATGCATCTTAAAGTTGCTAAGCTTGAGAAACACTGCTTTAGACAAGTAAATAGGGTAGAAGGAAGGACACTTTCACCGATACAGGGCAGTTTCCACATTTCTCTGGAACAGATTTTGATGGGTCCCTGCGGTCATAGAAAAGATTAGTCAGGAAAGCTGTGATATGTTAACAGCCTTCTATTCATGCTTTTCTAAATCCATCCCTTTGGCTATATACAAGACATCTGAGCTGCAAACAAACAAAAAACATAACAAAACAAAAAATCAGGCTATCACTAGATGTTAACAAAGGGCTACAATTTTCTTACCTAGTGATAATCTGGATTTTTGCAGCTCAGATATGGTATGTCTATTCTTGTATCTCATCCACAATTTGAAAATGGGAATCTTTTCATATAGAAAAAAATAACTTACCTGACAGGGCTTCCAAAATAATCTCTGTGAAGTACTTTGCACAAAGAATACAGTCTATCCTTGCTACAGATACCTGTTTTATCTATTTTACTCCAGGATTCTTGACCATTGGAATCTCATCAATCTACAAAGTAAAGGAGCAGCGTTTATTGGGGACAATTGAGTCCATCTTCAGTCACTGCTCTCCAGAAGAATTAAAGGAGATCCTCCTAGTGATATATCTTGCCAATAATGATTCTGAGATAAATGTAAAAACTGCCGAAGAAATTAAGGCCAAGTTTAGTGAACATACTAATGCAGGAAGATTACTTGTTATCCAAAGCTCTACAGCAAGTTATCCTCCATTATGGAATGTGAAAGCACAGCACTGGGGCAACAGGGAAGAAATTGGCTCAGCAGCCAAACAAAATGTGGACTACGCTTATTTACTTAATTTCTGTGCCAATCTGTCCCACTATTATTTGATGTTAGAAGATGATACTGTTTGTGCCACCAATTTTGTATCCATTATTCAAGGTTACATAAAGGATAGAAAGGAACATTGGATCACAATAGCATTTTCCAGACTAGGCTTCATAGGGAAACTCTATCATAACCCTGATCTTACAAGATTAGCCCGATTCCTCTTGATGTTCTATCATGACATGCCTGGGGACTGGCTCCTTGGACTGTTTCATAAATCTAGGGCTCAAGAAAGTCCTATCATCTTCCGGCCTTCTCTTTTCCAACATGTAGGGAAAGTTTCTTCATTTCACAATATTGAAACTGAAATCAATGATCCAGAGTTTGAAGAAGATTCTGGAGATCTGGGAGATTTTCTTACTGCTTCGTGTTTCACAAATATTCCCAGTGTTTTAAATTATGTCCCAGAAAATGTGTGTCCTCCTGGAAACGGTGTCTTTTGGGGCAAGAATGTAACAGCAGAGAGCTTTTTCACCATTGTTTTTGGAAATCCAATTGTTCCCCAGAAGATTCGGATTTACACAGGATCAGCTGAATTTAATAAGGACATCCTCTATGATGGTTATGTAGAAGAGGGAAGGCTCAAAGTCCATTCAGAAGATGGGCAAACATGCCTAATTTTCAAACAAATAGGAAAATTTAGGAATGGACATTTTGAGTTGGTAGATAAGGAAAAAAACAATGACATAGAGTGTCTTCGAATTCAAGTCACAGCACCACAAAAAGAATGGCTGAGAATAAGGAGAATTAATATTTGGTTGAAGAAGTATTAAAATGTACATTCCCTTGGACAAGCACATTGCCTTCATTGTAACTATATGTTTTAACTCTTGATTTCTGTGATTGAAGAATAGTTCAGTTTCTCCTTAATTAAAATAAAACTTGGAAGGCAAAAAAGAAAAGAAAAAAAGAAAAAGAAAAGCAACATTGCAGTGTGATAATAGTTTTTCGCTAAGATGATGGCTATGAATATTTTCTAAAAACATGTCATTTCTGATTATGGCACAGCATTGGAATATTTCTAAATGGCCCAGACCCAGTTTTCCCAGCATGGTGCTGTGGTGCCACAGTGCCTGTATACAGTACACCTTTCTGGGTGCCTTAAGGTTGCATGCCTCACCAAATTGTATTTTTAATAAAATTGTCAGCTAGTATACTGCAAAACAAAGGGCCACCCTCAGATGTAATCTTTATTTCTAATAATTTTCTTCTGTGCTTTGCATAGAGGCATCTGTGGGAGAGAGGAGGAGAATGTGTGTTTCAAATGTTGACATGGTGGCTGTGGCCATGCAGCTGAAGGCCTTTGCTGTACGGAAAAAAGGGGCAATGTTTCAATCACACAGCCATGGCTGCCACTTTGAATTTTTCTAACCCCCTCCCCCAAAGATGCCTCTGGTCTCACATCTTATTGTAGAAAATAAAAATGATACTGAGTTGCAAAGCAATACCCTGTTTCAAAGCATGCCCACTTACCTTGAATAGAATAAGTGATCACGGTAGAAAAAACCTTAGAGGCTGAGAAGCAATCCCATTACAGGTAGTCCCCAGTTAACGACCACAATTGGGACTGGCAACTCCATCACTAAGTGACATAGTCATTAAGTGAAACATTGCATGACTGCACCTGACTTACGACATTAGTTCTGCTGCAGTTGTTAAGTGAATCACCCACAGTCATTAGGTGCAACATTACATGACCACGATTTGCGACTTCCTGCCAGCTTCCCCATTGACTTTTCTTGTTGGAAGCTGGCTGTGAAGGTCGCAAATCACGATCACATGAATGTGGGATGCTTCGACTGTCGTAAATGCATGCCAGTTGCCAGGCACCCAAATTGTGATCATGTGACTGCAGGGATACTGCGATAGCCATAAGTTCGAGGACTGGTTGTAAAACTACTTTTTCAGCACCATCGTAAGTTTGAACGTCACTGAATGGGGCAGTGGTTAACCAAGGATTACTTGTAATTTTTTTGCTAATAAATGGATGTTTTATTACTAGCTGCGGCCACTATGGCAAATGTTTTGTGAAAATGCTAATAATATGCTGTCAAACTTCCCAATATGCCTATCTGCCCAATAAGATCAGAGACTCCTGGCATAGACGAGGCATATGCAACATATGAGCTGAAGCTCCAATGAGATTTGGGTGTGCTGCAATATCCAGAGCTCTCTCCTCCAATATTAGATGCAAAGTTTCAGCAAACAAGCAAAGGTTTAAGAAAAAGAGGATTTGTTTAGGTTTAGGAGAACAAAGTTGATAAATGAAGAATGTTCAAGATGCTAGCTGGGGAATTCTAGGAGTTGAGGTCCACACATCTTAAACTTCCTAAATTTGAAAACCACTGGTATATTTTATGAATTGTTCTTAACATTTATCCCATGCGCTGGCATGGGGAGTGCACTAGTCCTTTGAGGCCTAGTCCTTTCAGTGAAGCTATCAATGCATGACATGATGAGGGGTTTGCTTTATCAGATACCTTGCTGCAGAACCTGGCCCTGGTCTGAGCTGAAAAGGAATAATCTACTGTACCCAAAGTCACCCAGTTAATTTCCATGCCTAAGGAAGAATGAGAGTTTCCCCACTCCCAGTTCTGCACCTTACACCATGCTTGTCCTCAGTATAGTTTACGGGTTGATTTCCATATGTTTAAACGGTAGGAAAATTGGAATGTATCTGTTACTTTTAAATTGCGTCCTTTTGCATCTTTTGAAATAGCCTACTTGGGGACAACATAATTGAGTTTTATACCCACACACAAAATGTACACACTGCTATTGAGCAATTGCCTTTGTTTTAAAAAATAGACAATGGCGGCAAAGCACGTGGGTGCGCTGTTTGCTAAAACATTAATGTCCTTCTTCCAGGCTAGTTGGAAGCAACTAATTGGTTCTTGCTGTGGAGAGGATATTTATTTAATTGAGTACGTATTCATTTATATTCCTGGCCTGGCCTGATCTAGATCCCTGTTTGGTCCCGATTCCCATCTCCTAGCTACTTTCCCTTTTTATAGACCCAGGGCATTGTGAAAGAAGTAATGCAGCCAAATCTTTTATAAAGTTGCCCACCTATGTTATGCCCTAACTTTTACAAAAGGTAGCTTTAGAAGCTACAATTTAAATGGATTGAATTGTTGATTAAGTTGAACACCAACTTTTCAGCCATAATTTTCTGCTATGCAACTTATTCTGCAATATAAAAACTTCACATTGAGCTTGAGTGCTGGTGACTTTCTGGTCACATCCAGGGAGTGTTTTCTGCAACACTACAGATGTGGCTTGTCATTAATTTCTGGGACGTTTTTTGACTTTCCAGGCTAGCCTAAAGCCCTGGCATTCCCTGGAGATCCACCCTCCAAGTACTAACCAGACCCAGCCTTGCTTAGTTTCTAAGCCTGGCCAAGGTCAGCCAGGTGCTGCCATCTGCTGAGGCATTAAGTGAGGGTTTTGTTATAAGCAACAGAGAAGAGATTTACATGTGCAGAACATAAAAGATGTGTCTTGAGAGAAAAGGTAAGATTTTGATATTTATCTCCTAGACATAAATGGCAAATCTCCTTGGTGAAGCATAATACTGAAGGACCTAAAATCACCTTGGTCCATCAACAGGACAGTCCTCTGATCCCATAGACCAGTATTTTCAACCTAGGCAAGTTTAAGATGTGTGGACTTCAACGGCTGGGGAATTCTAGGAGTTGAAGTCCACGCATCTTAAACTTGCCCAGGTTGAGAAACACTGCCATAGACTATAGCAAGGTAGAGGGATCGCCTGGATACCTGTACTGAAACATCTGCACTGATTGCCAGTTGTGTACTGGGCTCAATCTAAGAAGCTGGTGTTAATTCTTCAAGCCCTATATGCCTCAGGCTCTGCCTGAGGGACCACCTCCCCCCTATAAACAAGCCCAGTTATTTCTATCACCGGATGTTCTTTTGATGCCTACCTTGCCAGAAAAATCAGCTGTCTGGTATGCAGGAGAGGGTCTTTTCCAGTTTGGCGCCCAGGCTATGGAACACTCTCCCCTGGGAGACCCCTACTCTCCCAGGATTTAGTGAAAGGAAAACTGCATCTCTCATCTCCTATGCTGAAAGATGTTATTGTTGTAATCTTGGGATCATGACCTGCTTTAACGTAATTATTACTGAGACGCTTGCAATGAGATACTGTACTAATGCCACTTCTTAGCCCATTTCCCGGCTGGTCAGATGAATTCTACAGACAGCTTCTTTTGGCAGATAAAGATCCCAAGATATCTCTTGCTGTTGCAAACTTTGTATTTGCAGCCTGTGCATTGTTGGCAGCAAAGGAGACTTAGCACAGTTACAGGCCTTTTTATCAGTTGCATGTTACATTAAACTTTGTCTTTACATCCTGTATTTTCTTTTATGAGGTTTGGGTCTGTGACCCATCATAAGGTTTGATTGATTGGCTGACGTCTCTCTCATCAAGGTTCAACTGGCAATTCTCTTTTGTGGGTGTATGTGGTGTGTGTGTGTGTGTGTGTGTGCATGTGTGTAAGGATTCATTTTAGGGCACGGTGAGGTGCTCTCCTCCCCCAGTGGGAAAGAGGACATTGCCGGCTTCCTGGCAGGCTGAGCTGAAAATTATTAAGCGGCCACAGACACATACAGGCACTTCCCCTTCCCTAAGTAATTTACTGTAGGAAAGCTAAGACACCCATACAGAAGAATCCCAGCAACTGCCACTCAACTCACTCAAATGTGAGTTCTTTGCTAATAATCATGGTTCACCTTTCTTGCCTCTTTTTCTCCCATCCATTCAACAAGAGCTAGAGCTAGAAATGCTTTCCTTTTGGGTGGGAGAGGGTTTCCATGTATTGATAAGGGCCTGATCAAGAACTAACCTTCATATATATTGTCTCTGGGACTGCGCAGATTTTCCCTTTTAACGGAAAGAATGGGAGGATAAACTAAAGGCACAGGGGGAAAAAAAAACACTGAGAAAAGTTGGAGACGGAAAAGGGAAACGTTTCCTTCCCCTTCATTCTGCCTGACTGAGTCCAGAAAGCTTTGGGAATTGATAATTTGCCCACTAAATATTCTTCCTCAATGGATTGCTCTGCTATTCTTCTATCTGAAACCAGAGCTGTTGGTAATATTCAAGATCTAGGTCTGGATTCTTACTTGCCTCGCACTTTCATGAAGCCAAATGAAACAATTCTAGGAGTGGGCTTAAGGGGGATGAGTAGAATCAAGTGTGTGACAGTTAAAGAAAGCACACAGGAAACTACCCTCAGTCTTGGCCACAAGGCTGAGAAGTTTCTAAACAAAATTTTCTTTCCTTGCTCTGTTTACTATGACTCACTAGATGGCAGCAAATCTACACCAGAGAACTTCCTTAGGATGACCTCTTTTTCCACTAATCACTTCAATCTGGGATGGTACCTTCTTTCAAATCCACAATTCAAAACAACCTAAAATGTTTAAAAGTAGCAGTGAGGTGTGGGTGGGATGACTTATGTGAGTTGTTAGATGAATAAACTATTTGTTAAATACAGAATGCTTTAGGGATCTTCATATTCCCACACACACAATATTTTTTCCCTTCATCAGTACAGATAACTAAGGAAAGTAGAACTCATATACACACACACATATCAGCCAGTAGCTTTTTGAATTACACTAATCATCTGGTAACTTTACACAATCCAATATAATGATTTCATGTTGTAGTGTCCTTAGGTGTTATCCTGGATATTGGACTGTGGTTACTGGTTCCTAATCTTCAGTCTGTTTCTAGCACAGACATCTG